AAGCATCACGAGAACACTGAGGGGGTGAGTATGATGGGGAAACTTTCTCTGAAACAAGAAATGGAGCCAACTTAGGCTCCTCCTTTACTCAAAGAAAGTCAAGCGTAGTTAAAATACATAAGACAAAGTCGTCCTTACTTTGTCTTATGTTTTAAAGAAAACTTGATCGGATATGAAGAAAATAAGAACTGACCCTAATAGAGGAAGAGGAAGCAATTGGGGAAAGGCAAGTTTGGCGTGACAGTGCCGCTTTAATCTGCTGTGCAGTGTGTGTTACACTTGGCCCCAGTGTGCAATGTGTGTGTGTGTGCCCACAAATAGTGCTGTCTGTGAACTTTGCGTTTTATTGCAGACATCCATGGACTCTGCTGTGGCTATTAATGACCTGTCTGTGGTTGTTGATCTTCTGAACATTATCAACCTGAAAGCGTAAGATCATTTTATTTTCCCTCCTCTAGACCCAAGTTGCTTCTGGCTAGAGCCACGCCAGTGCCCCCGTTCACCCCTGGGCTAGAGCCACACCAGTGCCCCGTTCACCCCTGGGCTAGAGCCACACCAGTGCCCCCCCCCCCATGTGCTAGATACACATAGGGCGGTACACAAATAGATTCATGTGTCCATCCCTCACCGCATAAAGAGCCTGGGGAGGTACACAAATGCCTTAATGTGTCCATTCCTCACTGTATAAAGAGCCCCGTGAGTTACACAAATGCCTTAATGTGTCCATTCCTCACTGTATAAAGAGCCCCGGGAGGTACACTAATAGATTCATGTGTCCATTCCTCACTGTATAAAGAGCCCCGGGGAGGTACACTAATAGGTTCATGTGTCCATTCCTCGCTGTTTAAAGAGCCCCGGGAGGTACACCAATAGATTCATGTGTCCATTCCTCACTGTATAAAGAGCCCCGGGGAGGTACACTAATAGATTCATGTGCCCATTCCTCGCTGTATAAAGAGCCCCGGGGAGGTACACTAATAGATTCATGTGTCCATTCCTTGCTGTATAAAGAGCCAAACTACTGACCTTTCCTCGCGGGTTATGTCCAGGTAGGAGACCCCAGATCTTTAACCTACATTCATTTCATTCACTTAGCACCAGCACTGTTCTGATTCTCTGCTCCTTATTAATCGATAATTTATATTTTATTGAACACCTAGTGGCATTCACATAATTGGTATTTTCTTTACATTCGCAAAGATTCATCTTATTTTGATTAAAATAGTGAGAGACCCAGTTGATGCAGGAATTGAGCAGTTTCTTGGGGAAGCTGATGGGGTGACTCCTCTGATTGCCGTTTCAGGTCTTTGTGGAAGCTGGATCTCTGTTCAGTTGTTTTGCCTCAGATTGAGAAGCTTCTTCAGAGCAAGTATGAAAGGTGAGCCTTTCCATCCCTTCCACTGCCCTCACAGGCCCCTGCCCCCACTAAACTAACTGCATGTGTTTCCTCTCCATTCATAGCTATGTGCAGACTGGATGTTTGTCACTGAAGCTGATTCTGCAGAGGTTTCTGCCATTGATCACAGATACCTTGGCTGCCCCACCTTCTGTTGGCGTGGACATAACCCGCGAGGAAAGGTCAGTAGATAACTCCCCCCTCTTTATACGGTGAGGAATGGACACATGAGTCTATTAGTGTACCTCCCGTGGCTCTTTATGCGGTGAGGAATGAACACAATCTATGTAAATATTTCATATTTTGTTTTGGGATCTATACAGTCAATCTTGGTTCTGTTATTGGGGTGCGTCCTTTTCGCTTCCGGGTATGAAAGTATGCTTTATGTTTCTGAGTTAAATAAACCTTTTAGGCTATTCCTGGGTACTCACCATGTCAATCTCTCTCCCCACAGGCTCACAAAGTGCAAGTTGTGTTACAAGCAGCTTCGGACACTCAGTCCGCTGGTAAAAACCCGTGCCTCACAGAGCGGCCGCTATGGAAGTGCCTTCAGAGAGCTGCAGCTGCTCATGGCTGCCTTGGAATAATGTGCAGCATTACATGTCCTATATCTTGGCAGGGAGGTAGCTGGGACACTAGCACAGAATCCGTTTTAAAGGGCAGGTCCTGACAAACTCTCAGAGAGTGGCTTTGGGGTCCTCCTTAGTGGGTTTCAGAGTTCCATTCCTCCAAGACTGACAGCACCTCGCTCACACAATCCCTTGCCCGGTGTTTGGCTGGAGGGATGCTTTCCGCTCCGTAAAAGGTGAAGAAGTAAGATCTGGGTTTCTAAATCTTCCGCTGGTTTGTTTACTGTTAATTTATAGTAAAATGTAATTAAAATGTAATTTTTAATTTCTGCAAGTTGTTACTGTTTTTTTTTTCAATGTTTTTTATTTTTTTATTTTCGTTTATTACATGCACAGAAAAAACAACATAAATTATAAACAATAATTAAACATAATAACATAAAATTAAATAAAATAAAAATACATGGGGCGGAGCTAGCGGCGCAACGGAGAGGGCGCCATTTCCAGCAGCTCTAATATCGAAGAGCAGAAAAACGACCAAAAAACGCAAAAATAATTTTCACCCGGAAAAACGAGCGGCGGGAACATATTCCCGACAACATTCCGATTCCACAGATGCCATTTATGCAAAAATCGGGCACAAAACGCCGCGCTAAAGGTACTGGGGCCTACCACACACACGAGCAGACCCTGAACAGGGAATTAACATCGTGGCTCGGGACGAGCTTATACTCTGCCGACGCAGACTTTTACCCTCAGGAAGAAATGGGACGGAGGTCCCAAAAAGCAGCCCAGAACAACGTCTTACCGCACAGGGACATAAGCAGCATGCTGCAGACTCCCAAGCAACAGCGGACTCGAACTGCCACGGCAGCCTCACCTGAACGATCAGAGAATGGTGACTCTACATACAGCACAGACCAGGCCGCCACAGTCAACGCAACCATGCAACTCGCCGAAGAGTTAACCCCGGCCACAAAACAGGACATTCAGATCATGCTGACTGGCCTCCAAAGAAATCTCCAACTTATGTGGCAGGCTGACCTAAAAGGACTCGCAACAGAAGTACAAGCGGTGTCGGCCCGCACACAGGCTGCAGAACAAGAGGTAAGAGATCTGTGCCAGGACCTCACCTCCCTAAAAGACACTGTCACTCAGCTGCAAAAGGCACAAGCCAATGTCAACAGACAAATAAATGTACTAGAGGACAGGGGCAAAAGAAAGAACATCAAAATACGAGGTGTACCTGAAGAGGTACCGCTGGAAGAATTGCCCCACTACATAAGGCGCTTGGTGGCCTCTCTCCTTCCAAATAAACATGCAAAACATTTTACATTTGATGGCGTATACCGCATCGCTAAACCTCGACTAGCACCACAAGCAGCCCCTAGAGACGTAATCCTGAGATGCCAATCCCTCACGGATAAAATCGCTCTGATGACGGCAGTCAAAGGGAAATCGCCACATGACTTTGAAACTCACCAACTAACATTCTTCCAGGACTTAAGCAGAGAAACCTTATTGTGGCGAAAGAGCCTGCAGCCAGTTACGTCGACCCTGCAAACAGCAGGCATTGCATACCGATGGGCGACTCCAAGAACACTATGGGTGACCAAAGGTGACAACCACTACAAGATCTCCTCCCTGGGAGAAGCTCCAGCTCTGATGGCTACACTGGGAATACCCAGGGACTCTACGGACATTCCTGCGGAACACCCTGAGACTGTACCTTGAAACCGGTGGCGTTTATACACCCTGATTTGAGTTAACATGTCTTTAGTTTAGATCGCATTCTTGTTGTTATACCTGTTATTTTACAATACATACAGCATAGACCTAACCTTGATGGTCCACTAAGGCCAATATGCCCTAAAAACATGGCGAATGCCCGCACATAGATTATAGACCTCTCCCCCCCCCCCAATGCCCTGGGGTTAAAGGGCATAGAAACCCACGGAGCATCTATCCTAGTTACAAGATCAGCTCCAAGGCATATTGAAAACCCCTTCTCAGCAGACAAACCAAATTAAGACCAGGAGTTATATAAATAACTAAGCTCAATATGACTCGATTACACAACGACGAACCATGGATACCCGGGCCCTATTTTAACGCCAACCTAACACACTTAATAGCCACGCAAGGGACCGGGAACCCATAAGCTAATCTTAAGTGCCAGTGTTAAATTATAACCAACCGCCCCTATCAGCGGCACAGACAAATATATGCGCTTTGACCAACCAGCCCAAATATCCCAAAAAGTGCAGAACACACTTTAGCCCAACTCACACGTTAAAGCGGCATACTTGTATATATACATATATATACACACACGTTTATATTGCATTATACAATAGAACAAGTTAAATGGTTTGAATATAAATATCTGTGCAATTCGAGTTAAAGCCATCAATACTGTGAAGATGTACAAAAATGATATTATTATGCCTGCATAAGCTGTTGGGGCTATGGAGGCTGTATTGTCGGATACTGCACAATGAAAAATAAAGAATTATAAAAAATAAAAAAAATACATAAGTTAAATTAAATTTTGCTTTTCTTTGCTATTGCCTTAATTTAATTTGTAATCCTTATAACTCATACAAGTGAGCAAAGTAAAAATAATTGCCATTGACAACGAGTTCTTACTCACAAGCGGAATGCCCAGCATATTCGTCCTGTTTTAACAGTTTTTTGCTTAAATCTTTCAGCTTTGCAGTCATACCCCATCAATTATTCATTAATATGCAATAATGTACACACTTTAACCTCACATCTGTTTTAGTCTATTCCTCCTTTTGCTATAACCTCTATTTATACCGTACACCTATATGCTAACCAATCTTGCCCTGCTTTTTCATGGCCACCTTCTCTTCCTTCTATTTTATTTACTATTCTCTCATATTGATCCGTCTTGTCTACTCTTTCCTGCACTTCCAAGATATTTGGTGGGATTGTTTTTTTTCCAATTTTGAGCAATGCTTATTTTTGCAGCGATTAATATATGAATAATAACTACATTATTTTTTATTCGACCCCAATCTTGGTTTATATGTAAAAGATAGAACTCAGGGAAATTTGGTATCACTGTATCCATTAAAATTTGAATAAATAATTTAATATCATTCCAATACTGTGTAAGACGAGAGCATTCCCAGAAATATGGAATAAAGTTCCCTTCTCCCTTTGACACCTTCAGCACCTGTCAGAGGTAGCTTCATACATTCGAGACAATTTTGCAGGAACTAAATACCAACGCATTAATATTTTGCTATAAGCTTCCCAATGTGTAAGGCTGTGAGATATTTGTTTAGTGATTTTTATAGTTTGATACCAATGGAATAGATCAAAGGTTTTTAATAGGTCTCGTTCCCATAATATCATATAAGGCAACTTTTCTTCACCATTTACATATAAAAGGCTTTTATTGCACATTGAGAGAGGTTTACGCTCCATATTAGGGTTCAAACAGAATTTACCCAACCAAGTCACTAAGGCCATATCTAATTTTGACAGCTTATTTTCTAACAAAAAAATCTTGATCCTTAAATACAAAAATACCTGTTTATTCGGAAGGGCAAACTCTGCCTGCAAACTAGGATACGATTTGATTCCTGCCTCATTATATAACATATGCACTTTACTAATACCATTAGTTTCCCAAGTATTCAAATTGAAATCTTGTATAAAGTACTTTATTACCTATAATGGTGCTAAGACTAATAGCTTTACACCTTTTAGCAATTTAGGAGTCCATTTTGACCAATGATAGAGCGTTAATTTTGTCGTAGAAAGCATGTTTTTGCCTATTGACCCGTTCATTAATGTCTTCCATAAAAGCTTTTCTATTAAATAGGGTTTAGCGCAAGCTTGCCCCAGTTTTAACCATACTGGTGAATTTAAACAGAAAAGTACTGCTAAAGCATAGGACAACATAGATGCCTGATAATATTTAATAACATTAGGAATGCCTAATCCGCCTTGTAGATATGGAAGCTCTGTAAGCCTAGCTGCCTCCCTTGGCGGTTTTTTTCCATATATATGAGTTACACATATGTTGACATTTTTTTAATCCATTTTTTGGCACAGCCATAGGAATATTTAAAAAAAAAAAGATACAATATATGGGGTAAGGCCATCGTTTTAATTGTATGTACACGCCCTAACTAAGATGTCCCCAAAGCCCCCCAGTTTTTTAGCTGATCTTTTAATTTATGTAATACAATAATATGATTGTGCTTAATTAAGAGAGAGCTAGTTTTAGTGAGTTTTATCCCCAGGTATGTTAGAAAATCTTTGCGCCAATCGAACGAGTAAGTACCTGCTAATTGATTTATCTCCGCTTTAGGTACACCCAACGGTAACGCCTGGGGTTTTTTAACCTTATTTTTATAATAGGAGATCATGCTATATCTTTCCAACAGTTTTACTAAATACGGTAATGATTCTTTAGGTTTTGATACAAATAAAAGTGCATCATCCGCAAAAAGAGCTAATTTTTGTTCCCCAATCGGGGTTTTTAACCCACATATACCGGCATGTTGTTTTATGTGTCTAGGTTATTATAAAAATGAATGGGGAAAGTGGGCACCCCTGGCGTGTTCCATTTGAGATCTCAAATTTAGAGGATATAAAACTAGTAATTCATAGCCTTCGCTGATGGTTTTGAGTATAATGCCATAATATTGTTCACAAAGGATTGTGGGAAATTGTATTTCTGGAGGACATGCTGCATATAACCCCAATTTAAACAATTAAACGCCTTTTCAGCGTCCAAAGCAAGTAAAATCCCTTGGTGATTATTAGTGTTTGCCCATTCCATAAGTTTAATATAATGTCTTGTATTATCCTCTACTTGCCTACCTGAAACAAAACCAGCTTGCTCCTCTGAAATAAGCCCCAATAGGATCGGTTTTAGTCGAGATGCCAATACTTTAGCAAATATTTTTATATCTACATTTAAGAGTGAAATGGGCCTGAGGTTGGCGCATTCTGTTGGTGATTTACCAGGCTTAGGAAGGGGTTACTATAAATGCCTCTAACATTTCCGGCGGTATCGCACTTGGTGTTTTAAAGCTATTAAAAAGCTTCGTAAGAAATGGTGTCAAGATGGGTTCCATTTTGATATAATAATAGTTAGGAAAACCGTCTGGCCCTGATGCTTTATGTTTGGGAAGAGCCAATATAGCTTTGCTTATTTCGTCTTCTGTAAATGGCTCCACCAACATCTGTTGTTGACTCACTGATATTTTAGGAGGATCTATTTCCTCCAAACATTTCTCTATTTCAGAGCTAGAAGGCTGTAATATATTTGAGTCTTCCGTTAAATTATAAAGTTTCCTATAATAGCTTGCTAATTCAGCAACAATGTCTTTTGGGTTAAATAATTTACAATTATTCATCGAGATCATATAGGTGATTTTTGTTTGAAGATAATTAGTTTTTAGCATATTAGATAACATTTTTCCTGCTTTATTGCCGTGAATATAAAATTTCAATTTTAATGCTCTCATATATTTTTCTGTTTCTGCTAATGCCAATACATAGAGTTCCTTTCTTACTTTAGCTATTTGACTACCATGCAATCTATTTGGTTTAAGTTTATTTTCCTCTTCCAATTTAAATAATACCTGAAGTAATCTTAAACGTTCAGCATCCATTTTCTTTTTTACTGCTAGCCCCTGATTTTATAAAAAAGCCCCTCATTACAGCCTTTTGTGCCAACCATAACGAGGAGGCTGCTATATCATCCTTGTCATTTTCCTGAAAATATTTAATGAGTGCCTCCTTAGCTTCTAAAAAAATGTTATTATCGTCCAACACTGCCTCGTTCGTTCTCCACAACCCCATTACCTGTCCCGGGTATTTAGCTTGAAATGGAATGGTCTGACCAAGTTCTAAGGCCGATGTGCACTTCTAATGTATTATTCAAAGTAGGTTTATCTACTATGCACATATCTAACTTTGAGTATGTCATATGTGCAGAAGAATAAAACGTATAATCTTTACCCGATGGCTAGAGACATCGCCAGGTGTCATATAGATCGTAATTATTGATCAGTTTCCTTAGTTTCTCACTATTTCTAAAGGCCAAGGGATGAGGGCTTGTTTCTTCTGTTCTAGAAATACCCTGTGTTGGATCTAGAGTTGTGTTATAATCGCCACATATTATCCAATGGCCCACACACAAGTCCAAACATTTTTTTTTTAATGCTACCTTTATAAATTTTATCTGGAAAGTATTTGGGGCATATAAAGAGACCAATGTAATTTCAATCCCGTTCAAGGAACCCACTAATATTAATAATCTGCATGTACTAAAATAGTTTTATTCGCTGAATATGCATGAAATTCCTGTGGGTATTGTCTTATTTTTACCAACCGTCTCTATGTGGACTATTTAATCCATTAACATTCATGTTAAATATTCTAAATCTTGTATCCATAGATACTTTTTATGTGTTTTTTATTTTTCAGTTGCATCTTTCTAACACTTAAAACTTTTACCATATTTGGGCCTAAGTCACTAATAATTACCCGAGCATTCCTAATATTTATGCTGTGCTTCCGCTTGAGAGAAAGAAAACTAGAATAACCAGCAATACTCTCTGACTTCAAATAATAAAATAAAAATCACAAATTAAGAAAGAAAAACCATCAAGTACTTATACCCCCTTATTGGAAAGGGTAAATGAATGGCCTGTTCAGGGATACCCATATTTCCTGTAATGGCCAGGGGGTGTGAGTAAAACGACCCACTCAATGCCAGGCCAAGCTAGAAGCAACTGTCAAAACCCCCCCAAAAAAACTCATACGCATTTCCCCTCTCCCCCATCCCCCCCCCCCTTCCCTTTCTCTCTCACTTTTTAAGGAATCTGTTACTAAATATACCTAATTTTTATATTTTTCCTTTTGTTTTACCCAAGCTATTATTTTAAATTTATATTTGGAACTGTTACCCGAGGTTTACTATAGATCTTTATTTGTAACTGTTGCATTTATTTACATCAATCTTAATAATGAAAGAAAAAAACCCCAACGTGAATAGCTGCCATGCTACGCTTCTTGCGCTGGGCAGCTGAACACTACATTTACTCGCTAAGCACAGCCCTAATTCGTGTACTATAACATACTGCAGACTATTATTTCTTTATTATTCTTTGCCAGCGCTAGGATTTTGTTCGTTTTGCAGGGAGCAAAAGGCCACTTATGTTATGCCCATTAAACTGGTGTTGGCATTCTACTTAATTTGCTATAATCAACTTTAATTAAAGTAAAGTGAGATCATAGATGTCTATTCCAAAAAAAAAAAATGTAATTAAATAAATAAATAAATTTAAAGCCCTGAACCTCACTTTACAGTTTCTGCAACATCGAAGCTTTTCTACCCAGGTGTGCCAGCAACCGTCCATTCCGCTTGTATTTTCTTTTCTGCTATATTTAAAAGAAGAAAAACTACCACAACAAGAGGACATAGTCTTAAATTAGAGGGACAAAGGTTTAAAAATAATATCAGGAAGTATTACTTTACTGAGAGGGTAGTGGATGCATGGAATAGCCTTCCAGCTGAAGTGGTAGAGGTTAACACAGTAAAGGAGTTTAAACATGCGTGGGATAGGTATAAGGCTACCCTAACTATAAGATAAGGCCAGGGACTAATGAAAGTATTTAGAAAATTGGGCAGACTAGATGGGCTGAATGGTTCTTATCTGCCGTCACATTCTATGTTTATATGTTTCTATTTGAGTTAACATTCCCCATTCTTTTAATTTGTTCTTCGCTTCTTCTGGTTCTTTTATTACATGTATTGCTCCATTCCGCTGTTAGTCGGATAGCCCCAATGGTATGATATTTTTTGGTCTCTCAATACTTTTGTGAACTCCGCAAATTCTCTTCTCCTTGCTGTAGTTAATACGGACAGATCAGCCAAAATCGGTACATCTTTGTAAGGAGCAGGGAGGCTAGGCTCCTTTCTTGCTGACTCTTTAGATTTTGGATAATGGAATTTCGCTATTACATCCCGTGGTTTACTGAGGTCTTGGTATGCGATGCACACGATCCAGCTCCCATGCGGATTCCTCCACATAGGCCTTTAATATATTCTGACAGTCCCTCCACACTGACTGACTCCGCTATTCCTGTTAAACGTACATTGCTGCGACGTGACTGATCTTCAATCACAGCCATTTTATATTTGAACTGCTTCTATTCATCCTCCATGTTTTGTATTTTGTCAATCAGCGCATTATGAGAGGTACATACATTTTCTGTTTTAACCTCCAATTGCCCCGTGCGCTCACCCAATACCACCACTTCTCTATGTATGTCTGAAATAAAAAAATTAAAATCTTCTTGCAATGTAATTCTTAAGTTTTGTAACATCTTATGTATCTTCCTTTCAGAGACCGGTTGTTCCTCTATAATTGCTTTATGTGAGCAGGCGGTTGCACCATCTTGGTCCTGCTTATTACGGTCTCTCTTGCTTTCTCTGACCGTATCTGTTCATTTCATTTGTTTAGCTGGTGCCATTTATACCTCCTCATATGAAACTTTCAGATTTTTTCCTTCTTTACCAGCTTAACTTGCTTTCCAGCTCTCACAGCTTTATGTGATCTCACTGGGTTAATTACTTTAAACAACCTCAGTACAACCTAAACACTCTAACAGTTACTTTTCTGTGACTGCTTTGATGTGCTATTAAATTCTGTTATACGCTTTGTGACAGTTTGTAACATTCCTGTTATGCCTTCTGATCCACTGCCCATCCACTGCTGTTATATGCTGAATGCACTGAGTGCTCAGGGCTTTACCAAAGGCTTAATGATTATCAAAGGTTTATAATATTATGCCTCACCTGCTGCTGACACTGAGCAGCACTTCTCGCAATTTCACTGTTCAAATTGAATCTGCTGCCTCACTGCTCCTGTTCTGTTTTTTAAGGCATAAAACTTGTGACATCATATAACTTGTGACATCCTATAACCTGTGACATCATATAACTTGTGACATCCTATAACTTGTGACATCCTATAACTTGTGACATCATATAACTTGTGACATCATATAACTTGTGACATCATATAATTTGTGACCTATAACCTGTGACATCCTATAACCTGTGACATCCTATAACCTGTGACATCCTATAACCTGTGACATAATATAACTTGTGACATCATATAACCTGTGACATCCTATAACCTGTGACATCCTATAACTTGTGACATCCTATAACTTGTGACATCCTATAACTTGTGACATCATATAACTTGTGACATCATATAACCTGTGACATCCTATAACTTGTGACATCCTATAACCTGTGACATCCTATAACCTGTGACATCATATAACCTGTGACATCCTATAACCTGTGACATCATATAACTTGTGACATCCTATAACTTGTGACATCATATAACTTGTGACATCATATAACTTGTGACATCATATAACTTGTGACCTATAACCTGTGACATCCTATAACCTGTGACATCCTATAACCTGTGACATCATATAACTTGTGACATCATATAACTTGTGACCTATAACCTGTGACATCCTATAACCTGTGACATAATATAACTTGTGACATCATATAACTTGTGACATCATATAACCTGTGACATCCTATAACCTGTGACATCCTATAACCTGTGACATCATATAACTTGTGACATCCTATAACTTGTGACATCATATAACCTGTGACATCATATAACCTGTGACATCCTATAACCTGTGACATCCTATAACCTGTGACATCATATAACTTGTGACATCCTATAACTTGTGACATCATATAACTTGTGACATCATATAACTTGTGACCTATAACCTGTGACATCCTATAACCTGTGACATCCTATAACCTGTGACATCCTATAACCTGTGACATCATATAACTTGTGACCTATAACCTGTGACATCATATAACTCGTGACCTCATATAACCTGTGACATCCTATAACCTGTGACATCCTATAACCTGTGACATCCTATAACCTGTGACATCCTGTAACCTGTGACATCCTATAACCTGTGACATAATATAACTTGTGACATCATATAACTTGTGACATCATATAACCTGTGACATCCTATAACCTGTGACATCCTATAACCTGTGACATAATATAACTTGTGACATCATATAACTTGTGACATCATATAACCTGTGACATCCTATAACCTGTGACATCCTATAACCTGTGACATCATATAACTTGTGACATCCTATAACCTGTGACATCATATAACTTGTGACATCATATAACTTGTGACATCATATAACCTGTGACATCCTATAACCTGTGACATCATATAACTTGTGACATCCTATAACTTGTGACATCCTATAACTTGTGACATCATATAACTTGTGACCTATAACCTGTGACATCCTATAACCTGTGACATCCTATAACCTGTGACATCCTATAACCTGTGACATCATATAACCTGTGACCTATAACCTGTGACATCATATAACTTGTGACATCATATAACCTGTGACATCCTATAACCTGTGACATCCTATAACTTGTGACCTATAACCTGTGACATCATATAACCTGTGACATCATATAACTTGTGACCTATAACCTGTGACCTCATATAACTTGTGACCTCATATAACCTGTGACCTCATATAACCTGTGACCTCATATAACCTGTGACATCATATAACTTGTGACCTCATATAACCTGTGACATAGTATAACTTGTGACCTATAACCTGTGACATCATATAACTTGTGACCTATAACCTGTGACATCCTATAACCTGTGACATCATAAAACTTGTGACCTATAACCTGTGACATCATAAAACTTGTGACCTATAACCTGTGACATCATAAAACTTGTGACATATAACTGGTAGAAAAAGTTTTTTTTTTTTTTTTATTTATTTTTTTATTTCACAGCTAACGCTCAGCTTCCTCTCAGCCTGTTACACACAGGTGCACAGCCCGCCTGCCGCTCAGCGTGCTTCCTGTCTGCTGCTCAGTTGTTACTGTTTTAATACTTAGTCTCAAGTTTAAATGCCATTTATTAATATTCTGCAGTGAACACTTCAGATCGGAGCTGTATGTTCACTGGGAGAGCTGAGCATATCGCCACCCTTAGTACAGCATGGGATTATGGGATTAGTATTTCAGATCTGGAAATACACATTTATTACTATCATGGCTGCTCTATAAAAGAGCCAGTAACACGGAAAACAGCCTCTCCAGCGCTAGGAGAATTAAGCAGGAAATTAAACGTTAAATCGACAATACAAGGAAATCATATAAATAGAGGGCAATGAATTTACACTAATAAACTGTCGCTGGTAATAATAGTATTAATCTTATAACACCATATAGTGTGTAGAACAGTCACCAACAGGCACTACACAATAAGAAGGAAAACTAGGGAGGCAAGGACCGACAGCACCGCTGATAGCGTAGTAACATTAAAAGTGTTTCCATATTTATTAAAACTTTCACATAAAATATGGATTTGAGTGGAATCACATTTTAACAAATATCACCAGCATATCTTGGGTACAGTAACAAAAAGGCTTCCCCTTTCCCTGATCTATGTGTCTAAGCAATGGGTGTCCGAGCGCACAGAGGGTCGGAGGCTGCACATAGCTCCTCGCTGTGCCCGCCAGAAGGTGGTTGTATCTGTCAGTGTGTGTGGCTCTGTCATTCAGAGTGTCTGTCAGTGTGTGGCTCTGTCATTCAGAGTGTCTGTCAGTGTGTGGCTCTGTCATTCAGAGTGTCTGTCAGTAAGTTTGTGCCAGGGAGAGTTTCAGATTAGTCAATTTGTATGTCTGTCATTCAGAGTGTTTCTGTCAGTGTTTCAAATCAGTTAGACTGTGTCATCCTTTAAAAATATATGGATGACATTTCTCTATATAATGTTTGCTATTGGTGTCTGCTGAATTAGGTTGTTTGATTCATCTGCATGCTTTGGATATGTCCCATCATATTAAGATTCATTTTTTGTTTTTAAGAAGCATTAACGTACATCTCACTATTTATTGGGCAGAGATCTCCTTTTGCTAATTCTATGGGTATGGGTGAGGTGACTGTGACAAACGCTCCATCTCATGTACGTTTGCCACAGACTCCCGGAGGAGTGTAGAAGCCGGCCTCCTGCCCACTGACTATGGCTCGGTATGGGACACTGTTGGGCCACAATTAGTGGCTTTCCCTGGTTCGGCACTTTCCCTACATGCGAATGAAATTGACCGCTGGCAGCTCTGGCAGCCGTTCGCATGAACCAAACCCACGAATAGTTCCAGCTGTACTTAGCCGCGACCGATATGGAACTAATTTCAGCATGAGGACTTCGTGGGTTCCCGGTCACCTCAGCCGGACTTAGCCATGAATATTATGGAACTCTTTTCGACATTAGGTGACCGTGCGGTTCCCAGACAACTTGGTTCGCGGTTTTGAACCACTTTGAAATCCACCAGGAGAGCACTTTTTGGAGGGAAGGTGTCTGAGGCTAAGGGGAACAAACGCTACCTAAGAGCCAGACGGAGCACCCTGTATTGTGGCCTCAGGAGCTCCTGGAAGTTGACTGGCAAAAGCACCAAAATGACCTGGAACTATTTTGAGCATAGGACCACGTGTGCAGCCGGTCAGAACTTTAATATGGTGACGTTTCCCCTACATTGCATTGGTCTGGGCACTATTTGGAGAACTTGGGCGATCAGATCAGGGCTATTTAACAATGTTATTGTACGTTATTACGTTTTGGGGTACTTTTTTGTTTTTATATTTGGCTCCCTGTTCCTGGGAGATAATATCCTTACCGGTCTTTAACGCAATTGTGACGAGACCACATTCAGACCTGTTATTTTCCCTGCTGAAAGGTTTATTCATGCCTTTCTGCCAGGATGTTCGGTAGATTCAATCTACCGAACAAACTACCGAACGATGGACCACCTGGGAACTGGAGTGTGCCGTCAATTGACCGCCCAGAAGCTGCGGTTAACCGCAGCTTAATTGATGAACGCTGGGAGGCCTTTGTTCGGTTGCCAAACACGTGGCAGCGGCCATTTTACCTCCCGAACGGCCAGCGGTGTTCAGTGCCCAAACTATGGAACTGAAAACGGACACTTATTGGCGCGAACACTGAGCCGCCAGCCTCCTTACCTTCTCATTTGGTAGCGGAACCGAATGACTGTTCATTCGGTAGTTTAACCGGATGAACAGCATCACCCAGATAGCTAAGCCATGGAGCCTGTTCATGTAACGAAAAGACTATGTGAAGGACTTTGGCTCCATGGCGATTGAACTGTATGTATGTGATTTGAGCGCCATTCGGTAATAATGTGCACTCAGATCTGAGCTATCTGGGGATATGTAGAACGTATATGTTTTATGTACTGAATGTAACTGTAGGTAATTTTATGTCTTTTACTGTTACTGTTACTGTTTTACTGCCATGTGGTTAATGGAGTTTTGCCTCTGTCTTTGGAGATAATTGGATTACTTCCCAATTATCTCCAGGGCAGAGAGGATGGATTGTGATGCATTGTGGGATGGTTGAAATGTGTAAGTCTGTGATTGGTCCTTTTACCCTTTGTGTCCCAGTCTCCCATTTGGTCCCCTAGGGGAGTGTCCACCAGGTGGGAGACCTGCATAAAAGCGGGGCAGTTAGCCCCAGTAAATCAGTTCCTGCTTAACCCTCAAAGTGAAGTGTCGTCTCATTATTTGGGGAGGATTTACTGTATGCTGTTAGAGACTGATTGCCAGGAGTGTAAGCCGCTTGGGGGCTTTTCCTGTTCGTCTGCTAGCAGCTATTCGTGTGTCTCCAGTTCGGGAGTTTGGAGTGCTACTTGGTATGCAGTTCGGGAGTTTCGAGTATTCCCTTGGTTGCAGTTCGGGAGTTGTTGAATTTGTGGGTTTGCCGTTCGTGAGATTGGTGCTTGCAGTAGCTGTCTGTGCAGCTGAAAAAGGGGAATATCGCCTAAACGGTTTTTAACCTCTTGTGGGCAAAACGGTCCGTTACAATCTTGAAATAGGCATTGAAAGCCATGTATCAGTGTTTTCAGATGACACAAAACTTTGTAAAGTAATAAAATGTGAGCAGGATATTGCTTGACTGCAGAGGGATTTGGATAGATTGGGGGACTGGGCACTAAAATGGCACATGAAATTTAATGTAGAGAAATGCAAAGTTATGCACTTTGGGGTCAAGCATGCACAAGCAACTTACACCCTAAATGGTAGTGAATTAGGGATAACCACACACGAGAAGGATTTGGGAATTGTTATAGACAACAAATTAGGCAGCAATATGCAATGTCAATCTGCAGTTGCTAAGGCCAGTAAGATTTTGTCATGTATAAATAGGGGCATACATTCTCGGGATGAAAATATAATTTTGCCTCTTTATAAATCGCTGGTAAGACCACACCTTGAATATGCTGTGCAATTTTGGGCGCCTGTTCTAAAGAAGGATATCATGGCACTGGAGAGGGTCCAGAGACGAGCTACAAAATTGATAAAAGGAATGGAGCATTTTAGTTATGAAGAAAGGTTAAAAAAATTAAATCTGTTTAGTTTGGAAAAACGGCGCCTGAGAGAGGATATGATAACTTTATACAAATATATTCGGGGCCAATACAAACCATTATCTGGAAATCTATTCATAAACAGGGCTATACAAAGGACACGAGGTCACACATTTAGGCTGGAAGAAAGGAGATTTCATCTAAGGCAAAGAAAAGGTTTTTTTACAGTAAGAACAATAAGGATATGGAATTCTCTACCTGAAGAGGTGGTTTTATCAGAGTCTATATAGATGTTTAAACTGAAATTGGGGGGGCGTGGCTTGGGCGCCGGACGAAATGGCGGCGTGAACCACGAGCTCCCGCCCGGCTCCGATCACACACCCGCCTAACCAGCTCCACAATAGCGATAATGGGCAAAACCAACAAGCCCCAACAGGCTGCACCGGCCTTCAGCACGCCGAGAGGGTCGCAGCCAGCAGGCATGCGCCAGTACCTCACAACACAGGCCGACCAAGCTCCCCAGGCCTCGAGTGACACAGCAAGCCTGGGCCCAGGCCGCCCGACCTCACCCAGGGACGGACACCACGAACAGGTACCAAACACCCCTGACAATACCCTACCCCAGCTGGACTGGGCAACTCTGCTAAACAACCTACCCACAAAAAATGACCTGAAGGAGGCCAATGCCGCCCTCCACAAATCTATCACTGGGGAGCTCCAGGCCCTGAGGGAAGACATGCAGGGGCTCCATCACAAACTGGCCCAGGTGGAGGCAGATTGCGACCACGTGATGTCGGCGCAAAACGCCACCACGAGCACCATAAAGCGGCAGGAAACACAATTGCGCCAAATGGCCCTCCATTTAGAGGACTTAGACAATCGGGGGAGACGTCAGAACATCAGAGTTCGGGGGCTTCCAGAAGAATGCGACCAAACTACCCCATTAAGGGACACGCTCACGGAAATTTTTAATGCCCTCCTGCAAAGGCCGAACACGGCGCCCATCGAATTTGTAAGGGCGCACAGAGCACTCAGACCCAGGGGCCCACCTGACTCCCCTCCTAGAGACGTAATATGCTGTCTGACGCACTTTCAAGTGAAGGAGGATATCCTGAAGAGCGCCAGGGCTCAGAGCCAAATCATCCACAATGACGCTGAGATCCAACTGTATCCAGACCTTTCCCCTGCAACGCTGGCGTATCGACGAGCCCTGCGCCCACTCACGCGGACATTGCAGACTAACAAGATCAGATACAGATGGAATTTCCCCACCGGACTACAGGTCACCACAAGCAATGGCCCCTTCACGGTGAAGAGCGAGGGAGATCTGAAAGACCTGACGAGAGAACTGCAACTCCCAACGATACATATGTCCTGGCCAGACCCAATGGCTTTCTACGCCTTCTCACCGGAGGTACAACGCCAGCCGCAACAAACCTCCAGACCCAGAAGAACGAGACAACAGACAACGCGCCCCACGGGCACCAACATGTAGAAAGACGCACACTACCTGTCCACCCTGCCGGGAAACCACACGGCCCAGCAATGAACTGGACAGACACTGCCCGTCCCTGACCAGAACACATGGAACTGGCACTACCGAAACCCTCAAAACCGCAAGTATATAGCCCAAGGGGCAACACACTCACTAAGACCCCACACGGACATACAGGCCAAGAGACATAAAGAGATACACTGAATCCTGAGACCCAAGCGGCAAGATCGGCGCAGATGCTTGAGCATGCAGTGCCCGCAGGCCTGCCAGGCCACCCATGGACTAAATGCACTCACACTAGGGAGGGGGGGGAAGTATCAGGGACCCAAAAAACTCTTAGTACCAACACAACAGTGAGAGGGATTGGAGGGGGGGTGGCCCCCCTGGCCGCGCCCGGCCGCCGGGGCCTAGCCGCGCTGTAATGAACCACGGGGAGCAGGCGGGCGGCTCCGCCGTCGGGGCGCGCCCGGGGTGGGGGCTCCGACCCCACACCCGAGACAAATGGGTAGCGACAACACCAAGCTGACCAAACTACAACCACCTGCCGAACAGTCACACACCTCTAGAACAGGGGGAGGAAGCTCAACACACCAGGGAACCATACGACGGGTGCACCCCATAAGGCACAGAGACAGGGGGACAAGAACACACCAGCTAGACCCACGCCTATGGGAACAACCTCAGTCTCTCACCCCAGACAGGGACACCCACACCTCCCCATAAATGTAGGGAACAGGGCGTTGAGACACAAGGGACACAAGAACACACTAGATAGGCGGGCGGGTGGGAACCTGGGACGCAGGGGGACAAAGGTAAACAGCACACAAAATTGAAATGTGAAATGTTAGAATATTGTTAAGTTTTCACCTGTTGTGACCTGAAACCAAAATGTTAATAACGCTGTTAATGTTTATGTTTGTAACCCAATCACAAACCAAAAGAACACGTGCATAAACACTCATTCACGCAAGCCCCAGAACCACCACACCCCGAGGCGGGGAACCACACGCGAACTCCTACGGAGTAATCACTGAGGAGCCACATAGGGAAGCCACGAGACGAGATACACCACAAGGACACTGCGCCAGGCGACTGGACACCCAACCACCGCCCAGTAGGCGAGGCGTCACCCGAAAGGTGAGCGTTGCACGGACACCACAGGTGGTGCCGGGCTCTGTCGCTCCCCGACGCTACTACCTAGTCGCCACGCACTGTGGCGCAAACCACGGAGACCTCTGAGAACCTCTCGGACTACTCCAATACCTCAACCCCTTGATCCTTACCTAAACCCCAACACCCGATCCCCCAACCCGACACTGACAGCTGACTGAGAGACCCCTGAGACTACACACACCAAAGGCACGCAGGACAAAGTCATTTCCACAACACCCGACGACAACGACCTGACTTGGCGGGATGGCACTGACCCCAGACCACCTACACATCCTTACAATCAATGCAAAAGGCCTAAATAAACCAGAGAAGAGAACAGGAGCACTGAGAGACTTTCACAAACAGCGGGCTTCTATAGTAATGATACAGGAAACCCACTTTAAAAAAGGGAATAGACCCAAACTGACTAATCAGCACTACACACAAGGTTACTATAGCGATTTTCAAGGGGGTAAGGCCAGGGGGACAGCAATACTCCTCCACAAGAGGGTGCCGTTCCAGGAGGGGGGATGCAAAACGGATGACGAAGGAAGATACATATTCCTTAAAGGGAAGATCGTGGGACACCAGTACACATTCGCAAACATCTATGCCCCAAACACACAACACTACCGCTTCCTCAAACAGACACTTCGCAAACTTCAAGAATTCGCGGAAGGGACTTTAATACTAGGGGGCGACTTCAACATAACTCTTGACCCATCATGGGACAACTCATCGGGCACCTCCCACATCCCCACTCAACAACTCCAAACAGTTAAATCCCTACTCCGGAGTCGACGACTCGTGGACTGCTGGAGAGCCCACCACCCAGACGTAAGAAACTACACCTTTTACTCCCACCCACACAACTCTTATTCCCGGATAGACCACATCTACACCACACACTATGACCTCTCCCTAGTGTCTGAAGTAACAATAGGAGTGGCCACATGGTCAGACCACGCCCCAGTCTCACTAAAACTTAAATCACCACTTTACCGCCCCACGACCTCGAAATGGAGATTGAACGAATACCTACTCACTAAACTAGAGGTCACAACCCTAATAGGTGAGAAAATCAAGGACTACCTGACGACTAACACAGCAGAGCAAACATCCCCGACGATTCGATGGGAAGCACACAAAAGCGTGATACGAGGCCACTACATACAACAGGGGGCAATACTGAAGAAACAGACTGAAGCCCGACTACAGGCACTGCTGACCAAGATACAGGAGACAGACAATCAAAATAAACAAACCCCGAACCACACACACCAAACCCGACTCCTACAACTGAGACGGGAACTAGCCTCACTACTGCAGGCTAAACATCACAGAGACGCAACAAGGCACAAAGCCTTCTTCACAGTACACGGGAACAAAAGCGGCAAACTTCTAGCCGCGATGCTGAAAAAGCAGAGGCAACACACATATATTGATAAAATTAGAGATAAACAGGGCACCCTACACCGCCTCCCGACAGACATCATGAGAACATTCTGCACATATTACACCGATCTTTACACGCTCCCCCAACCGAAGACCAACGGGGCGACAACACACCTCAGAGACTCTATCCGGGCCTACTTGACAAAATACCAGACACCGACACTTGACGCGGAGATAGCGGAGGTCATTGACGAACCCATCACAATAGAGGAACTAGCTCTAGCGGTTAAACAAACCAAACCAGGCAAAAGCCCGGGACCCGACGGCCTATCGACCAAATATTACAAGACATACGCTACAGACCTATATCCACTCATGATAGAAGCGTTCAATTCGATACGAGACGGAAACCATTTCCCCAGACAAACACTAACAGCCCACATTACTATTATCCCCAAAGACGGCAAAGACAGAGAACAATGCGGAAACTATAGACCAATCTCACTTATAAATAGCGACATTAAACTACTGGCCAAAATCCTGGCGACCCGACTCACGCAACACATCCCATCACTGATCCACCCAGACGGTGGGATTCGTGACAGGCCGAGAAGCCCGAGACAACACCATCAGGGCACTCACCCTCATGCACGGGACAGGAGGCACGAAAGGGGGCCTTATCCTGCTGTCAACTGACGCAGAGAAGGCCTTCGATAGGGTCGGCTGGACATATCTATTTGAAACACTCGCCCATGCGGGACTAGGGCCACAAATGCGACGCTGGATAGAGGCATTGTACCGAGAACCCACGGCCCAGGTGCTGGTCAACGGGCGTTAACTGATGCCTTCACAATACATAACGGCACGAGACAAGGCTGCCCCCTCTCCCCACTTCTGTTCGTCCTTGCCCTGGAACCATTCCTCACACACATCCGACACAACCCAGACATAACCGGACTGACAACAGGCAACACGCAACACAAGGTAGCTGCGTACGCAGACGACCTACTCTTCATGGTAACAAACCCTGAAATTTCCCTCCCAAACATACAGAGGGAACTACAGCTATATGGGGTAATCTCCAATTTGAAAATTAACTACGGCAAATCCTATATCCTTAACGTAAGCGTCCCTACTGCACGGGCGAACCCCCTCCGACAAAGCTTCCCCTTCCAATGGGCCGAACACAAAATTAGATATTTAGGAGTCTGGCTGACCAATCGAAGTGAGGACATGTTCAGGGAAAATTTCACAGATACACTCCAGACGTTCCAAAAAGACATGCGAGAATGGTCGTACCCCCACATCTCATGGCTAGGGAGAGTCCAAGTAATAAAAATGAACTTCCTACCACGCCTCCTATACCTCCTCCAGGCCATCCCCATCGAGATCCCGGGCCCCTTTTTCGGTACCCTTAGAACAGAAATGACCAGATACGTATGGAACGGACGGAAACCTAGAGTGAAATTCGCTACCCTGACACGACCTAAGGATAAAGGAGGGTTAGCCCTCCCAGACCTCCACTTATACTATGTGGCCACACACCTCCAGAGAATTGTGGAGTGGTCAAAAGACGGCGTGCACAAACTCTGGAAGACGGTAGAAGAGGCGGAAGCAGGCAGACCACTCTCGGGACTACCCTGGGGGCGTGAACCGACAAAATGGGGCGAAATGTCCATATACACAAAACACACCATGAAAGTATGGAGGAGGATAGCGAGGAAGGGGACCATGTCACCATACCCCTCCCCCCTTCTTCCTCTGACGCACAACGCCGACTTCCCCCCGGGATTAGACCCAAGAGCCTTTAGAGACATCCTCCCAGACCCACACCCACGCCTACACCATGTCCTGCAGGGAGAGAAATGTAAAAAACTGACAGACATGACGACAGCGGCGCACCCGACCTTCATGCAGCACTTCAGATACACCCAGCTAACCAACTTCGTCCATACCCTACCACAGGGCTCAGCGCTCACTAGACAACATACCACACTGGAAGTGGTCTGCATGCACCCAGACCCGCTCCCACATGGAGTATCTTTCCTTTACACCATGTTACAAATGGACATCCCGACAGAGACACCCCTATTTATGAGGAAATGGGAGGATGCCCTCGGATACACGCTGACAAATAAGGAATGGGAGTCCATATGTTACCTCACACACCACTGTTCCACGCACAGCAAAACACAAGAGACAGCATACAAACTTCTGACACAATGGTACAGGACACCCACTTCCTACACCAGATAGACCCAGGCCAACCAGGCCTATGCTGGCGATGCCAACAAGAGGAGGGCAGTATCACACACATATGGTGGGAATGCGCAAAGATCAAACCATACTGGCAAAACATCCACAAAATGCTAGAGAAATTCACGGACAAACCACCCCCCCTGGAACTAGCAGCAATGCTCCTACATCACACTCCTACCCCTCACTCCAAATACAAAAAATCTATGACTATTCGAATACTCAATGTAGCCAAACGAGTGCTCCCCCAATACTGGAAACAGGCCATAACACCTCCACTTAAGACCTGGTTTAACCAAATGGAGGAGCTGAGGACAATAGAGGAACTGACCCTGACGACTAATACCTCCCCGACAGCCTACATGGATATATGGACACATTGGATCCTAGAGACGGCGAAAGAAGGATTCCAAAGGGAACTAGAACCGCCAACCGCCACACTACAGACTGAGAGGACTTAGGGAACATACACCTGACGACAGGCGACGACTGACTACCCTCACACCCCTTCCTACCCCAACCCTAACTTTCCCTTCCCCCCTCCAGAGGAAAGCCAAGAGACCATAAACCCAATCTAAGTAGATACACAAGTCAATGAGAGGGCACACATGAGAATTGAACGTCAAACCCACAGGGAGTCGGGTCACCCCGACCAGTAAGTCGGACAAAAGGCCGACGAGCCTCTGCTTAACCCGCACACAAATTACAACTGCAATAAATGTAATGTACTGTAAAAGAGAAATGCTCGTAAAATAAGTTAAAAGGGACTTGCAAGTCCGTCAACATTGTGGGCCTGCGAGCCCGACTAAAAGTTACTGTTTTTGATATATTCCAAATGCCTTCATATCATTTGATAACTCACCTTGGAGACCTGCGAGTCTTCGAATCTTGACTAACCGATAAAAATAAAAATTAAATTCACAAAAAATAAACTGAAATTGGATAAATACTTACAAAAACATAACACACAGGGATATAATTTCTAATTAGTGGGGTAATAGCTGCTTGATCCAAGGAGACATCTGACTGCTATTTTGGGGTCAAGAAGGAATTTTTTCCTAGTTTGTGGCAAAATAGGAAGTGCTCCAGACCAGGTTTTTTGCCTTCTTTTGGATCAACAGTGTGACGAAGTGCCCTTCGCCACTTGTGCCTGGAGAGGACTGCTTGCCCGCCTCTTGCCCTGTGACTATGGCCCCTGGGATGTATTGCCCTTTAAAGACATGATTTGGGCATAATGGATTTGTGTTGTGCTGCTGCTGGCCCTTTAAGAACCATTTGGGGACATACTGTGGAGTTACTGGGTGGCCACCATTTCCTGTATCAGAAGCACATGGTGAGAACAATGGATGGCGGCCATTTTAACTCACAGACACTGTGTGGACTTTTCAACATCTCGCCAGTATTTGGTGCACAGAGACATCGTGCGGTGGTTTTGGACTATACAGCAGGGGACACATTATACAGTGATTGTTTTTTTATTTAGCCTGTATATGTTCTGCAGAATCTGCATTAAATTGTATTTTCCAAAGTACTGAACGGATCTGGGTGAATTTTGGATATGTGGTTCAACCAGATCCCCTGGTTCCAAGGATATACTTTTTATGGGGTTATTTCATGTTTTGGGGTCCCTGTGATGTATATTTTAGAAGTTATGAATGCTGTAAAACTTTTAATGTTTCTGGCCAGCAGATAATTGAGCTTTGTGTATTGTAGAAACTCAATTATCTAGCCTGGCCCAGAGGAGGAGTTTTGTGTTGCATAAATTGTGAGTTCTGTGTGCCAGTAAATCAGTCTTGTTCCAGCATTAAGCCTTGGCTCATGTTTGGGGGAATTGGAGAAATACACTCTGGGGATTGCTATAATCACTATACTCCCCAGGGTATGATCACTAAGTTCTGCTAAGAGCTTGTTCCTGTTCTTGCTCTCTGGGGAAAGAGAGGTTCACCCACTGGAAGCTGGATCCTGGCCTTGGGTCCAGGGTGGGTGGAGACAGCAGAGACCCCGGCGCAGTTGCATCGCTGGAAGTGGGGTCTGCAGTGCTGATGGTGTCGGTTGGAGTGCTTGGAGTCCTCAGCGAGCACTAGGAGCATCGATTGGCGGAGGTACTCAGTCGGAGTGCCAGCGTTCCGTCACAAACAGCAACAACATTTGTGAGGAAGGCTGAAATTGATGGACGCAAGTCTCTTTTCAGCTATGTAACTATGTAACTAAGTGTCCCTTTAAGAACTGTATTTTTGTTGTTGACTATAAAGCTATGTAAGTTTAAGTGGTGGCTCCTAGATTCAAAGCAAGTTTGTCAAGCCCTAATGTAATGTTATAAACCGCGAGAGAGGCTGCTTAGTAATGCTGTAATGTAGTGTTATAAACCGCGAGAGAGGCTGCGCAGTAATGCTGTAATGTAGTGTTATAAACTGCGAGAGAGGCTGCGTAGTAATGCTGTAATGTAGTGTTATAAACCGCGAGAGAGGCTGCGCAGTAATGCTGTAATGTAGTGTTATAAACTGCGAGAGAGGCTGCGTAGTAATGCTGTAATGTAGTGTTATAAACCGCGAGAGAGGCTGCGCAGTAATGCTGTAATGTAGTGTTATAAACTGCGAGAGAGGCTGCGTAGTAATGCTGTAATGTAGTGTTATAAACCGCGAGAGAGGCTGCGCAGTAATGCTGTAATGTAGTGTTATAAACTGCGAGAGAGGCTGCGTAGTAATGCTGTAATGTAGTGTTATAAACCGCGAGAGAGGCTGCGTAGTAATGCTGTAATATAGTGTTATAAACCGCGAGAGAGGCTGCGTACTAATGCTGTAATGTAGTGTTATAAACTGCGAGAGAGGCTGGACTGTACCACAATTATGAAGAAAAAATTTCAGGTTTACGTTCGCACAAGAATTCAGTGCCCACAGAATTTTGAATCAGGAAAACATTTTGCGCAAGAGAAAAATTTCTACACATCCACTCATAAAAATCCGAGGGAACATTGGTGAAGGTATGTATCGTCTCACTGTACTGGGCCCCTAAAGTCTATTCGTATTTGGCTGAATTGGAAGTGAGAGGAAATGGGATGAATATAAATCCAATAAGACTTTTTTTTTTTTTTTCCTCGAGCTCCAACCTTACCTTTTATTTTATTGATTAAATTAACACTGTTGATGCAGATTAGCCACTAGAGTGGCAGCTCCTGTGGTGACCCAAGGAATGATGCACAAAGCTATCTGGTCAATACTTTACTCAGGTTTAATATAAAATCTCTGTATATTATTATTTATAGATTATATACATCATTTATTACACAGGCAGCAAGATGTCCATTTATTGCTTGTCTCCCTATGAGGGATGAAGTTTCGAGGATCCATAATAACACTGTTACTGCAGCCCGATCCGAAGGCGCCCTGGGGAGAGGAAACCAAATGTAAGCTGTGACCACTGGGGTGATGGAAAATGTAAACACTTGGATCGTAGGGGAAAGAGTAATGCAGTAAGTTCAGTTCTAACTACGTAGGAGGGAAAGTGTAAAACAGTGTCTAGTCTCTAGGTGCTTAGGGAGAGAGTAATGCAGTAAGTTCAGTTCCAACCACGAGGGAGGGAAAGGGTAAATGGTAAGCTCAGTTCTAGGTGTGGGGGGAGAGAGTAATGCAGTAAGTTCAGTTCTAACTGCATGGGAGGGAAAGGGTAACACGGTAAGCTCAGTTCTAGGTGCTTAGGGGGGAGAGTAATGCAGTAAGTTCAGTTCTAACTGCATGGGAGGAAAAGGGTAACGTGGTAAGCTCAGTTCTAGGTGTGGGGGGAGAGAGTAATGCAGTAAATTCAGTTCTAACTACATGGGAGGGAAAGGGTAACACGGTAAGCTCAGTTCTAGGTGGGGGGGGAAGAGAGTAATGCAGTAAGTTCAGTTCTAACTGCATGGGAGGGAAAGGGTAAATGGTAAGCTCAGTTCTAGGTGCTTAGGGAGAGAGTAATGCAGTAAGTTCAGTTCTAACTGCATGGGAGGAAAAGGGTAACGTGGTAAGCTCAGTTCTAGGTGTGGGGGGGAGAGAGTAATGCAGTAAATTCAGTTCTAACTACATGGGAGGGAAAGGGTAACACGGTAAGCTCAGTTCTAGGTGCTTAGGGGAGAGAGTAATGCAGTAAGTTCAGTTGCAACTACGTAGGAGGGAAAGGGTAACACGGTAAGCTCAGTTCTAGGTGCTTAGGGGAGAGAGTAATGCAGTAAGTTCAGTTCTAACTACGTGGGAGGGAAAGGGTAACACGGTAAGCTCAGTTCTAGGTGTGGGGGGAAGAGAGTAATGCAGTAAGTTCAGTTCTAACTACATGGGAGGGAAAGGGTAACACGGTAAGCTCAGTTCTAGGGGTGGGGGGAGAGAGTAATGCAGTGAATTCAGTTCTAACTACGTGGGAGGGAAAGGGTAACACGGTAAGCTCAGTTCTAGGTGTGGGGGGAGAGAGTAATGCAGTGAATTCAGTTCTAACTACGTGGGAGGGAAAGGGTAACACGGTAAGCTCAGTTCTAGGTGCTTAGGGGAGAGAGTAATGCAGTAAGTTCAGTTCTAACTACGTAGGAGGGAAAGGGTAAATGGTAAGCTCAGTTCTAGGTGTGGGGGGAGAGAGTAATGCAGTAAGTTCAGTTCTAACTGCATGGGAGGAAAAGGGTAATGTGGTAAGCTCAGTTCTAGGTGCTTAGGGGAGAGAGTAATGCAGTAAGTTCAGTTCTAACTACATGGGAGGGAAAGGGTAACACGGTAAGCTCAGTTCTAGGTGTGGGGGGAGAGAGTAATGCAGTGAATTCAGTTCTAACTACGTGGGAGGGAAAGGGTAACACGGTAAGCTCAGTTCTAGGTGTGGGGGGAGAGAGTAATGCAGTGAATTCAGTTCTAACTACGTGGGAAGGAAAGGGTAACACGGTAAGCTCAGTTCTAGGTGCTTAGGGGAGAGAGTAATGCAGTAAGTTCAGTTCTAACTACGTAGGAGGGAAAGGGTAAATGGTAAGCTCAGTTCTAGGTGTGGGGGGAGAGAGTAATGCAGTAAGTTCAGTTCTAACTGCATGGGAGGAAAAGGGTAACGTGGTAAGCTCAGTTCTAGGTGCTTAGGGGAGAGAGTAATGCAGTAAGTTCAGTTCTAACTACATGGGAGGGAAAGGGTAACACGGTAAGCTCAGTTCTAGGTGTGGGGGGAGAGAGTAATGCAGTGAATTCAGTTCTAACTACGTGGGAGGGAAAGGGTAACACGGTAAGCTCAGTTCTAGGTGTGGGGGGAGAGAGTAATGCAGTAAGTTCAGTTCTAACTGCATGGGAGGAAAAGGGTAATGTGGTAAGCTCAGTTCTAGGTGCTTAGGGGAGAGAGTAATGCAGTAAGTTCAGTTCTAACTACATGGGAGGGAAAGGGTAACACGGTAAGCTCAGTTCTAGGTGTGGGGGGAGAGAGTAATGCAGTGAATTCAGTTCTAACTACGTGGGAGGGAAAGGGTAACACGGTAAGCTCAGTTCTAGGTGTGGGGGGAGAGAGTAATGCAGTAAATTCAGTTCTAACTACGTGGGAGGGAAAGGGTAACACGGTAAGCTCAGTTCTAGGTGTGGGGGGAGAGAGTAATGCAGTAAGTTCAGTTCTAACTACGTGGGAGTGAAAGGGTAACACGGTAAGCTCAGTTCTAGGTGTGGGGGGAGAGAGTAATGCAGTAAGTTCAGTTCTAACTACGTGGGAGGGAAAGGGTAACACGGTAAGCTCAGTTCTAGGTGTGGGGGGAGAGAGTAATGCAGTAAGTTCAGTTCTAACTACGTGGGAGGGAAAGGGTAACACGGTAAGCTCAGTTCTAGGTGTGGGGGGAGAGAGTAATGCAGTAAGTTCAGTTCTAACTACGTGGGAGGGAAAGGGTAACACGGTAAGCTCAGTTCTAGGTGTGGGGGGAGAGAGTAATGCAGTAATTCAGTTCTAACTACGTGGGAGGGAAAGGGTAACACGGTAAGCTCAGTTCTAGGTGTGGGGGGAGAGAGTAATGCAGTAATTCAGTTCTAACTACGTGGGAGGAAAGGGTAACACGGTAAGCTCAGTTCTAGGTGTGGGGGGAGAGAGTAATGCAGTAAGTTCAGTTCTAACTACGTGGGAGTGAAAGGGTAACACGGTAAGCTCAGTTCTAGGTGTGGGGGGAGAGAGTAATGTAGTAAGTTCAGTTCTAACTACGTGGGAGAGAAAGGGTAACACGGTAAGCTCAGTTCTAGGTGTGGGGGGAAGAGAGTAATGCAGTAAGTTCAGTTCTAACTACGTGGGAGTGAAAGGGTAACACGGTAAGCTCAGTTCTAGGTGTGGGGGGAGAGAGTAATGCAGTAAGTTCAGTTCTAACTACGTGGGAGGGAAAGGGTAACACGGTAAGCTCAGTTCTAGGTGTGGGGGGAGAGAGTAATGCAGTAAGTTCAGTTCTAACTGTGTGGGAGGTAGAGGGTAATGCGGTAAGCTCAGTTCTAGGTGCGTAGGAAGAGAGTAATGCAGTAAGTTCAGTTCTAGGTGCATAGGTGGAGGGTAATGCAGTAAGTTCAGTGTAACGGATCGACGGGCACCCCGACTGAGTACCTCAGATGAAGGATGCTCTTAGTGTTTCCTGAGGACTCCAAGCACTGTAGCAGACACCATAACCACCGTAGACTCCCCCAGAGAGCAAGACAGGAATGAGCTCTTACAAGAGCTTAGCAGTGAATATAGCAAGAGAGTATGCAGAGCATAGAAATCCCTTGTAGCAGATTCCCCCAATAAGAGACGGCACTCCAAATTGAGGGTGAAGTAGAACTGACTGGCCCATACAGCCTCTTTTATTCACATTGTACAAACATAGTACTGCCCACAGGGTTTTGATGAACAACCAATAAAAACGTACAATACACTCAGACACTCCTACACAAAATCCTCCCCTCTGCCAGTGATACAATTACCTTACACAATGGGTTAATATAATTATCACAGGCAGGAAAATACACAGTTTTACACAATATTCATAACTTTAAAAGTATGCATCACATTCACATAAAACTTACATTTTCAGAATCATACTCCAAATACCAACATACGTCAAAATCATACAAATTGGTCCAGTGGGTCAAAAATTAGATCAATGTCCTTTGTGACCAAAGGAAGTATGCCTTTTCTGTCCAAAACCAGTTCCACAGAGTCTTCTATCCTGGAGATAATTGGGAAGTAATCCAATTATCTCCAAGGACAGAGGCAAAACTCCGTTAGCCACATGGTAGCAAAATACAATAAAACACATAGAAATATATAACTGTGCAGCCATTGCATAAACCAGGTAAATTCAAAATATATCCCCAGATAGCTCAGATCTGAGCGCACATTATTACTGAATGGCGCTCAGATCACATACATACAGTTCAATTGCCATGGAGCCAAAGTCTTTCACATAGTCTTTCGTTATACGAATGGGCTCCATGGCATAGCTATCTGGGGTAACACTGCTCACATAGGGAAAGTACCGAATGAATCGGCTTTTGGGTCTTTTCAGGGGAACATCAAGCATTTCAACATTTGGCCATAGTCAAAGGGCAGGAGGCTGGCAATCAGTCTTCTCCAATGCCTAGTGGCGAGGCTTGTTCCGCCACATTTCTCCCCTTTCCCAAAAAGACTATCAAGGTATCTGGCCTCCTGTCGGTCAGTGCCTTGGTTAGTCCAGCAACCCACCCACAAAACATAGTAGTGCAGCCCACCCACAATGAAAAGTTACTGCACCTGCGGAAACGTGCAGCCAGTCTTCGTCCAGGGGCTCCATCACGGCTGTGTGGGGTAAGGGTACTCCGGATCTGTGGGTTGCTGAGTGGGCAGAGACCAGCGATACTCTGCCCTGGTGCCAGCACTTCAGCTGGAGTAGTCTGGTTGGAGCCCAGCTGTGAAGAGGGGGTGGTAGGCTCCTCTCCCTGGACCCGGTGCTGCTGCTGGAGGGGGAGACAGACTGTCTCCTCTTTTGATAAACAGTCCTGCTGCTGGGGATCTGGAGAGGCTGTCCCGCACCCCTGTAGACCGGGTGCAGAGACTGCGGTCCCATCTGCCCCATCTGGGAGAATAAGGTATCCCCTTTGGGGAATAAGCTGCCGCTGGGGAGAGGTGGTAACCGGCTCCTCTCCCTGACACTCTCTCCGATGCTGGAGAGGGGGACTGACTGTCTCCCCTTCCTGTAATACACTCTGCCGCTGGGGAGAGAGACCGACTGTTTCTTCTAATAACTCTCTTGGCTGCTGGGGAGAGAGACTGACTGTCTCTTCTCCCAGTAACCCATACTGCTGCTGGGAAGTGAGACCGACTGTCTCCCCTTCCAATAATGCGCTCTGCTGCTGGGGAGTGAAACCGGAGGTCTCTCCTCCCTGTAATGTACTCTGCCGCTGGGGATCTGGGCCAACTGCCCAGCATCCCCGTAGGGCCAGTAGAGAGATCTCGGTCCCATCTCCACCTGCCATCTGTGGGTCTCTCCAGGACCAGTCTATGAGGTCCCCTACTTCTGCAGCTGGTAGTGAAGCAGGGGGTACCTCGGCCAAGTTTTCCCAGCTGTAGGCTGGCAGGTCTGGGTCCGCCACCCAGTTTTCCCGTTCTGCGTCCATGCTCTGCGGCTGACACAAGTTTAGTAGTTCCACATAGTCAATCTCCAGCAGCGAAATGGCAGAGGTCTTCTACCAGGCCAATAGATCTCGGGCCCTGTAACATCTCACCCCGGTAATGCAAGATAGCCCAGTACCGTGACTCTGCTGGACTGCCGAAGTCGACGACTTCCGCTAAGTCCTTCCACAACAGGCCAGGGCTAGTGTAGTTCTCTCCCTCCGGCTGGATGCCTTCTGCCCTCCACGTCTCTGGCTGGACGGTGCACCACCACAGTGCCCAGTATGAGGCATCCATGCTCAGTTCCCTTTCCACGAGGTACTCAAGTTGTACTACCTGCTCCCCTCCTGGTTGGTCTCCCAGAAGCGGCATCCGCCAGGCCATTTGTTCCTCCAACTGGTATGCGACACCAGGAAGGCGCTGCTGCCGTTGATACTGGACTTCCTCCAGGGCATCGTACCATAATTCTTTCTGGGCAATTTCTCTCCATTCCATTTCACTCTCTTCCTCGGGTGTGTGTGCTGCCCAGGGGTGTGTGTGCTGCCCACAAACCCCATTTTCCCAAATCTTTCTTTAGACAGGGACGCTATATGAACACTAGCGTCGCCCTCAATTTGTAAATCCACGAACGGTCTCTCTGAAATGCTTTACCTCACACGAGGATGCCATCCCACCACTGCCACCAATGTAACGGATCGATGGGCACCCCGACTGGGTACCTCCGTTGAAGGATGCTCCTAGCGCTTCCTGAGGACTCCAAGCACTGCAGACACCATAACCACCATATACTCCTCCAGAGAGCAAGGCAGGAACGAGCTCTTACAAGAGCTTAGTAGTGATTTAGCAAGGGAATATGACAAGCATAGCAATCCACTGTTGCAGATTCCCCCAATAAGAGACGGCACTCCACATTGAGGGTGAAGTAGAACTGACTGTACTGGCACATACAGCCTCTTTTATTCACATTGTACAAACATAGTACTGCCCACAGGGTTTTGAAGAACAACCAATAAACACGTACAATACACTCAGACACTCCCACATAAAATCCTCCCCTCTGCCTGTGATACAATTAATATAATTATACACAGTTTTACACTATTCATAACTGTAAAAGTATACATCACATTCACATCCACATTTACACATTACATTTTCAGAATCAGCAGACTCCAAATACCAACATACGTCAAAATCATACAAATTGGTCCAGTGGGTCAAAAGTTAGATCAACGTCCTTTGTAACTAAATGAAGCATGGCTTTTCTGCCCAAAACCAGTTCCACAGAGTCTTCTATCCTGGAGATAATTGGGAAGTAATCCAATTATCTCCAAGGACAGAGGCAAAACTCCATTAGCCACATGGTAGCAAAATACAATAAAATACAGAGAAATATATAACTGTGCAGCTATTGCATAAAACAGGTAAATTCAAAATATATCCCCAGCTAGCTTAGACCTGAGCGCACATTATTACTGAATGGCGCTCAGATCACATACATACAGTTCAATTGCCATGGAGCCAAAGTCTTTCACATAGTCTTTCGTTATACGAATGGGCTCCATGGGATAGCTATCTGGGGTAACACTGCTCATATAGGGAAAGTACCGAATGACCCGGCTTTCGGGTCTTTGCAGGGGAACATCAAGCATTTCAACATGGGGCCATAGTCACAGGACAAGAGGCTGGCAATCAGTCTTCTCCAGTGCCCAGTGGCGAGGCTGGTTCCACCACTTTCAGTTCTAGGTGCTGTTACAAACTGTTACAAACTATTGGATCGCTACAACTCAGAAGCGAATGTTATTTATTGCTACATTTCACCCAGAGTTTGATTACAATATTGGGATTTGATACCTAGCTCCCGAACTACGGACCTGCTGGCTATTCGTGATACGAACGACAGACCACCAGGATCTTGGCGTGTGCCGCCACTTAACCCCGGTCCCCCCGGGAACAGCCGAACGGCCGACCACCTTACGAGCGGAGTGTGTCTCCACTTAATCGCCCAGAGAGTTGCGGTCTGCGGTTAACTGCAACCTAATTAACGACAACAGGGAGTCCACGTTCGTGCCCCATCACCCGATACTCTAACTACCAAACCGGTACCGAACAAAGGGCCACCTAAAGCCTGGCGTGTGGCTCCAATTAGAATGTTGGTTTCTGCGGTTAACCGCAGGTTAAGTACCCCCTCCCGGCGGTCTTCATTCGCCTCCCGAACACCGGAGACTTCCAGCGACGGAGCGGGGATTCGTACAGACTTCTAGCCGGTTCCTGTTCCACAAGTTTGAGAGTGAAGTCCCTCGGCCTATTAGCCTACCTCAAAACATGGCCGCCATCACACGCTCAGAACCCAAAGACACGAACAGACTTTGGTTCGAGGAAATACCGCATACCATTCGTGGGTTCGGAGCGCTCTTTGGTTAATTGTTTCGCCTCAACCAAGGCTATGTAATGAATGGTGGAAGACACGAATTATGTATAAAACTGTTTGAGTTATGTATTTTTATTCTGTTTTCTATGTGGCAAAAACATGTGGGGTTTTGGGCGCTTGGAGATAATTGTATTGTAATAACCGTTGGATTCATTATCTCTAAGCTGGGCGGTGACGATTTCAAACTATGCATTGCATTTCTATTGGTCCCCCACTTGGATTGTCCCTGTATCCCATCAGGTCCAGAGGGGGCTGTCCCTGGACCTGAGATTTTGCATAAATTCGGTCCCCTGTGTGTCATTAAAGCCAGTTCTTGTTTGACCTTCAAATAGCAGCCTCGACTTGTTTTGTGGGGAAAAGAGTATCCTAGCTGTACTATAGCTTGTGGGATTGTTCTACATTTACAGGATTCTTATGGAATAACCACCGGCATGACTCTCCCCTTTCTCTGCCTTTGGGATCCAGATCATCCAAGCGGTTCAGCTTCCAGCTAGCCTGGAGGTAACCGTAACAGGTGCGTAGGTGGGGAGTAATGCAGTAAGCTCAGTTCTAGGTGCCTGGAGGGAGAGTGTAACGAAGTAAGTTCAGTTCTAGGTGCATAGTGGAGGGTTATGCAGTAAGTTCTGTTCTAGGTGCGTAGGTGGGGGGTAATGCAGTAAGTTTAGTTCTAGGTGCGTAGGTGGGGGGTAATGCAGTAAGTTCAGTTCTAGGTGCATAGATGGGGGTAATGCAGTAAGTTCAGTTCTAGGTGAGGGGGTAAAGCAGTAAGTTCAGTTCTAGATGCATAGATGGGGGGTAATGCAGTAAGTTCAGTTCTAGGTGCGTAGGTGGGGGTAATGCAGTAAGTTCAGTTCTAGGTGCGTGGGGGGTAAGCAGTAAGTTCAGTTCTAGGTGCATAGTGGAGGGTTATGCAGTAAGTTCTGTTCTAGGTGCGTAGGTGGGGGGTAATGCAGTAAGTTTAGTTCTAGGTGCGTAGGTGGGGGGTAATGCAGTAAGTTCAGTTCTAGGTGCGTAGGGGGGGTAAAGCAGTAAGTTCAGTTCTAGGTGCGTAGGTGGGGGGGTAATGCAGTAGGTTCGGTTCTAGGTGCGTAGGTGGGGGGTAATGCAGTAAGTTCAGTTCTAGGTGCATAGGCGTAGGTGGGGGGTAATGCAGTAAGTTCAGTTCTAGGTGCGTGGGGGGGGGGTAATGCAGTAAGTTCAGTTCTAGGTGCGTAGGTTGGTGGGGTAATGTCCGTGGAGCAAATACCTGAATTTATGGGTCGTTTCCGCAAGGAGGTGTTTCTTGCGCCACGACCTGTTAAGCTCTCAGTCTGTAAGGAAAAGATATGGTTAACAGCTGGTTATGGTGCTGTGCTGTAACCTACATATGCCTTGCCCTAACACAGCTGTAGATTTGACAAGATATCCATTCCCAAAACAAAAACCGCCTGGCTCTAGTTAAAAGGATTCTATAGTCCCCTCGTAGCCCATGGGATGGCCAATCTGCACTGCCTCGCCTGCTTTTTAATTGGGGGCGATGATCAGCCTCCGTTATAACACTTTCATTGCAACATGGGAGATTTTGTGCTGCTGCTCTGAAAGGGTTAATTACACGGCTGGTCACTACAGACAGAACCTTTTACTAATTAACTAATTAAAGGGACACTAGAGTCACCAAATCAAATTTAGCTAAATAAAGCAGTTTTAGTGTATAGATCATTCCCCTGCAATTTCACTGCTCAATTCACTGTCATTTAGGAGTTAAATCACTTAGCTTCTGTTTATGCAGCCCTAGCCACACCTCCCCTGGCTATGATTGACAGAGCCTGCATGAAAAAATAAACTGGTTTCATTTTCAAACATTTAGAAGTTTTTGTTTTTTTATCTCCTTCTCTGTAAATGGAACTTTAATTACATACAGGAGATTAAGAAATAGAAAAGAGCATGAAATAATAAAATCCAAATTAAACAGACTGTTCCTGTAAAGATTACACTTCCTTTATTGCACAGTCTGTTTCATTTAGAATTTCCGATTAAACATTAACATTTCTAAAAAGCCAACCTAGGCTCCAGCGCAGTATTCTTCTCCCCCTCCCCCTCTCCTTACCTCTGTCTGTTCTCTAAGTGGTGGCGGCTCGATTCTACGGGCTGGTGCCCCCAGCTCCACGGCCCGCACACGGTCCCCAAACCTCAGCGAACACAGGGATTCGCTGGCGTTCTTTTCAGTGGGCGATACCTGAGGGACATTTATTTATTTATTTAGTTATAAACAAGATCTGCAAAGCAAGCCATGTATTCTCGCAGTCGGGAGAGGAACGGATTTCATTGAGTTAGCCATGCCAATTCTCTTCATATAGACCGAGACTGTTTGGGGGATCAGCTTTACTGCTATCAGAGCACGCGTCCATTAATGGGGTGCTGCGTTCCTCCATTCCAGAGAGAATGGCGCTCCATACTGAGATGTCCCTAAATTGTAACTGTTGTTTATTTAATCCCTTTACAAAGTGGGCTTTAACGTTGTTAGGACAGCATGAAACATCCCATCATATCAGAGTGAGCTGGCTTAAATCCCTGCGTACACCAGGAGACCCAGGGAATCAATCGACACCCGGGGCTGCCCTCTGTCAGCTGGGGCCATTTGTATTGTATGCAGATAACAAAGTGAGCGCTGCATAAAGCCATTTATATGCCTATTGCTACACCGTTGGTGTGAGCGGGGTTAAATCAATAGAGATCTGTCAGCCTCGGCCATCAGGGGAAGGGTTGGTATAGGGTTAGTGTTTTCTACCACAAGATATAAGGACAGATAAGTGAATCATTGTCAAGTTCGTTTATTTACTTGCACTGGATGTGTAAAAATGATTACAAACAAAATTGTCAGAATACGCATTTTATTTACACTTAATGTGCTAGGTTTATATACAGGATAGTAAAATAAAGTCCTCTGTCCTTTAAAAACCAACATACACTGCTCAAAAAAATAAAGGGAACACAAAAATAAAACATCCTGGATCAGAATGAATTAAATATTCTTCTGAAAAACTTTGTTCTTTACATAGTTGAATGTGCTGACAACAAAATCACACAAAAAATAAAAAATGGAAATCAAATTGTTCAACCCATGGAGGTCTGGATTTGGAGTCACACTCGAAATTAAAGTGGAAAAACACACTACAGGCTGATCCAACTTTGATTTAATGTCCTTAAAACAAGTCAAAATGAGGCTCAGTAGTGTGTGTGGCCTCCACATGCATGTATGACCTCCCTACAATGCCTGTGCATGCTCCTGATGAGGTAGCGGATGGTCTCCTGAGGGATCTCCTCCCAGACCTGGACTAAAGCATCTGCCAACTCCTGGACAGTCTGTGGTGCAACGTGACGGTGGATGGAGCGAGACATGATGTCCCAGATGTGCTCAATTGGATTCAGGTCTGGGGAACGGGTGGGCCAGTCCATAGCATCAATGCCTTAGTCTTGCAGGAACTGCTGACACCCCAGCCACATGAGGTCTAGCATTGTCTTGCATTAGGAGGAACCCAGGACCAACCGCACCAGCATATGGTTTCACAAGGGGTCTGAGCATCTCATCTTGGTACCTAATGGCAGTCAGGCTACCTCTGGCGAGCACATGGAGAGCTGTGCGGCCACCCAAAGAAATGCCACCCCACACCATTACTGACCCACTGCCAAATCGGTCATGCTGGAGGATGTTGAAGGCAGCAGAACGTCCTCCACGGCGTCTCCAGACTCTGTCACGTCTGTCACACGTGCTCAGTGTGAACCTGCTTTCATCTGTGAAGAGCATAGGGTACCAGTGGCGAATTTGCCAATCTTGGTGTTCTCTGGCAAATGCCAAATGTCCTGCACGGTGTTGGGCTGTAAGCACAACCCCCACCTGTGGACGTCGGGCCGTCATACCACCCTCATGGGGTCGGTTTCTGACCGTTTGAGCGGACACATGCACATTTGTGGTCTGCTGGAGGTCATTTTGCATTGCTGTGGCAGTGCTCCTCCTGTTCCTCCTTGCACAAAGGCGGAGGTAGCGGTCCTGCTGCTGGGTTGTTGCCCTCCTACGGCCTCTTCCACATCTCCTGATGTACTGGCCTGTCTCCTGGTAGCGCCTCCTTGCCCTGGACACTACACTGACAGACACAGCAAACCTTCTTGCCACAGCCCACATTGATGTGCCATCCTGGATGAGCTGCACTACCTGAGCCACTTGTGTGGGTTGTAGACTCCGTCTCATGCTACCACTAGAGTGAAAGCACCGCCAGCATTCAAAAGTGATCAAAACATCAGCCAGGAAGCATAGGAACTGAGAAGTGGTCTGTGGTCACCACCTGCAGAACCACTCCTTTATCGGGGGTGTCTTGCTAATTGCCTATAATTTCCACCTGTTGTCTATCCCATTTGCACAACAGCATGTGAAATTGATTGTCACTCAGTGTTGCTTCCTAAGTGGACAGTTTGATTTCACAGAAGTGTGATTGACTTGGAGTTACATTGTGTTGTTTAAGTGTTCCCTTTATTTTTTTGAGTGGTGTATATGTTTGGGGACACCAAGAAAAACCCTGAAATTATGGTTAAACCTTGCAAATAGTTCTGGTTTATAACTTGGACCCAGACAGATTGCCGGCGTGCGTTACGTGGAGTCTGTCATGTTGCGCGGCTTTATAAAGCAGAAATCATCAGTTTTATAACTGGGCCATCATTCAGACTGACAGGCAGGGCTGCATCCCCCCTTCTCATTGAGCAGTATTACATCAGAAATCTGGGGTTCTCAAGGAGAAGCCACTGATTGGTGGATTATTCAGCAAAATCTGTCTGGGCAGGGTTAGAAGAGAAGGGCAGCCAAAGGCTGTAGACTAGAGGTCTGCAGTTTTAATCAACTGCTTCTAGATTTAACAAATTCATGCATTTTACTTTAGGAAAAGTTTCCTTTTGGATATATTCACTAAATAATTTTTGGCTTTATAATAGAGTGTCCGTTTAATGTGCTCAGACCAATGTTTTATAATATATAAAGTATGGAGAGACTACTCAACAGTATATACAATAAACAATACACACCTGGGTGCTATTCATCTCAAATATCGAAACAAACAATAATTAACTAAAAAAGAGAATGCACACCAGAAACCATACAAAATCTCTATCTTGGTTTAATAAGTCAATATTAGGTTTACAGTTAGTAATACAACAGTAAGTGATAGTGAATAGGCTAAACATAATAACCAACAATAATTATTTATCAAAATTCACAAACCTAATAGGGCAGAAACACGGATCCAAAGAAAACCCCCCCAATGTTTCGGCACCTTCCGAGCTGCTTTTATCAAGGGTATTTATGACCGATGTCTAACACTGTTGGCCAGGCATTACTGACCGATGTCTAACACTGTTGGCCAGGCATTACTGACCGATGTCTAACACTGTTGGCCAGGCATTACTGACCGATGTCTAACATTACTGACCGATGTCTAACACTGTTGGCCGGGCATTACTGACCAATGTCTAACACTGTTGGCCAGGCATTACTGACCGATGTCTAACATTACTGACCGATGTCTAACATTACTGACCGATGTCTAACACTGTTGGCCGGGCATTACTGACCGATGTCTAACACTGTTGGCCGGGCATTACTGACCGATGTCTAACACTGTTGGCCGGGCATTACTGACCGATGTCTAACATTACTGATCGATGTCTAACACTGTTGGCCGGGCATTACTGACCGATGTCTAACACTGTTGGCCAGGCATTACTGACCGATGTCTAACACTGTTAGCCAGGCATTACTGACCGATGTCTAACACTGTTGGCCGGGCATTACTGACCGATGTCTAACACTGTTGGCCGGGCATTACTGACCGATGTCTAACACTGTTGGCCGGGCATTACTGACCGATGTCTAACACTGTTGGCCAGGCATTACTGACCGATGTCTAACACTGTTGGCCAGGCATTACTGACCGATGTCTAACATTACTGACCGATGTCTAACACTGTTGGCCGGGCATTACTGACCCATGTCTAACACTGTTGGCCAGGCATTACTGACCGATGTCTAACATTACTGACCGATGTCTAACACTGTTGGCCGGGCATTACTGACCGATGTCTAACACTGTTGGCCGGGCATTACTGACCGATGTCTAACACTGTTGGCCGGGCATTACTGACCCATGTCTAACACTGTTGGCCAGGCATTACTGACCGATGTCTAACATTACTGACCGATGTCTAACACTGTTGGCCGGGCATTACTGACCGATGTCTAACACTGTTGGCCGGGCATTACTGACCGATGTCTAACATTACTGATCGATGTCTAACACTGTTGGCCGGGCATTACTGACCGATGTCTAACACTGTTGGCCAGGCATTACTGACCGATGTCTAACACTGTTAGCCAGGCATTACTGACCGATGTCTAACACTGTTGGCCGGGCATTACTGACCGATGTCTAACACTGTTGGCCAGGCATTACTGACCGATGTCTAACATTACTGATCGATGTCTAACACTGTTGGCCGGGCATTACTGACCGATGTCTAACACTGTTGGCCAGGCATTACTGACCGATGTCTAACACTGTTAGCCAGGCATTACTGACCGATGTCTAACACTGTTGGCCGGGCATTACTGACCGATGTCTAACACTGTTGGCCAGGCATTACTGACCGATGTCTAACATTACTGACCGATGTCTAACACTGTTGGCCAGGCATTACTGATGTGGATGTGGGTTATTTGGAAGCGTTGGTCTCACCTGTAATAATAGCAATGCCTTGCCATCTCGGCTCAGTGGCTCCTGTAGCAGGTAGGTCAGCTTGGAGTTGCGGTAAGGAACATATGCCTGATCTGAACGAAGGGCTGAGAAGACATCACCCAGCGCAGACAGAGAGCGGTTGATACACTGAGCTTCCCGCAGTCGCTCCCCTGCAGCTCCAGAGCGTGAGACCCTCTCCGATCCAGCCAGGTCCACCAAATACAGCTTTCCTGAAATAACAGTTCTACATGCTAGACAGGGAATGATTGGAGGAGATGGGGGCATGTCACCCCCCATGACAGCTACACTCAGTCTGGCCCATGGGCTCATTTTGGGCAATACCAGGTTATTGGGGGAGGAGCTGCGAGGATTAGTAGTTCGTGTACCTGTGGTGCAGATTCCGGTACTGGTTTCCCTTCCCTTGGCGGTCAGTATAAGCAGCGCGTGGGATCGAGAGCTGTGGCTGTTCACATTGGTTTGTTCGGTTGCTCGCTGTTTGTGGCCGAGTTCCAGAATCTAATATCGCAGAGTGAAACGCTATGAATGATGTTGCTATATCTCCAGCCTCCAACACGGACATTATAAGACACGTGTAACTCCCTGACCTTAACACTCTCACAGATAGAGGAAACCTGCACTCACTGCCCCCCACATTGGCGGATCAAGGGGGGGCAACGGGGCAATTACCCCCCCCCAAGATTTTCCCCTGCCGGCTAATGCAGGGCTGGCATTGTCCAAGTGCTAGCCCTGCTATGTGCCTTCAAGGACCGGGGAGGGAGAGCAGTGATCAGAGATCCGCAGGCACTGTGCTGACAGCCAGTGGGGGAGGGAGAGGGAGGAGAGAGGACCCGGGAGCTCAGCCTGCAGAGATTTGGAGCGTAGCCACGGTTACCACGTGCTCCAGGGCTAGACTTCACTCCACACTGGGACCACCAGGGACGGAGAAATGTCCCCCCTCCTCCCAGTAAAGGTAAGAAGGGATGGGGAACAGCAATATATTTTATTAAATACTTTTTAAAGGGGCACTGTACACTGCCCCACACACATGTATACACACACACACACCTTTACACATACACTGCCACACATACACACCTGCCCCATACACACACTGCCCACACACACACACACTGCACACCCATACACATACAGTGCCCTACACACTGCCCCTATACACACATTGCCCCACACACACACACACACACTGCCCCCCATACATAAAGTGCCCTCCCCATACACACACTGCCCCATACAGACATATAGTGCCCCCATACACACACTGCCCCAAACACACATACAGTGCCCCCATACACACTGCCACCCTCACACACACACACACACACATACACACAGTGCCCCACACATACACTGCCCCCTAACACACACTGCAACCCTGACATACACTGCCGCCCTCACGCACTCACACACACTGCACCTTTCACACACACTTCACCCCTAACACATACCACTGCTCCTATGCCCTATATCCCAGCAGACCCCAGGTAAGTTGTCAAACTGTTCTTAAATGGTATGACTACTTACTCTGGGGTGGGATCCTGGCACTACTAGCACCATAACTACTACACTGAGCTGTAGTGGTTATTGTGCCAGGATTATTTATTTAAATAATCTACAAGTGCCCCTCCCGAGATCAGGCTCTGGATCCGTCACTGCTTTCCCACAGCTCTTTATTGCAGCCTAAATTCACCATTTACCATTCGCCATACTGGGACTATGCAGCATTAACAAGGAAATTGCTCATTTTAAGTAAAAATAACAGAAGCTTAAAAGTGTCAGATCGATTTTTGTTGGTTAATTTGGCCTGAAACTTGCAATTTCCCTGTTAAAAGAGCAAAGATCACACAGAACTAAAGTCTTAGCATCTGACATCTACACATACAAACATCATCTCCCTAAACATGGCGAAAGTAACGCCTGAGCCAGTGAGCTTACAGTCTAATTCCCAGGACAAACATACAAAACCCCTCACCTTGTTTATATCTTGCATGCACTGTACATTTCGCTGCATCAGCCCGGGAACATACAATTCACCTGCTCCCCCCGGGGCCATCTTTATATCTAATGGCGTGTTACTGGAAGAGTCCAGCAGGTCCCTGGAAAAAATGGTTAATCATTGAGTGCTGTCAGCGATTGTTAGCAGGACATAGCTGTACCTGCTGTCTCGTATCCCTAGTCTCACCTCAGGGATTCGTTGTAGATCTCCACCATGCTGACACTGAGCTGGTGCTCCCAGGAATTGGACCTCTCTCCCACCTTGGAGAGGAGAAGGCGCAGGGCTCGTTGGTTAATACCAGGGTCGGACGGTGTCCCCTGGGAAAATTAAATAACATGTTATCCAAACCAGACCGTGTATACCACCGGACACTAATAACATTCTCAGTTTCCGCTCCATATAATGAACACTAATATTACTCCACAGCCCTTCGAAAACTTGTTTATTTTTCTTTGAAAGGGGATATTTAAAGGTGAAGAAGGCCTGCTACCGCTTTAACCAACAGATACATAAAATGCGGTGGCAGTGACATTACCACCGCTATAACCAGCTGGTACATAAAATGCAACGGCATTTTAACCTCAAATAACTGTGCATTGGACACCCTCCTATATAGCAACAACCGGCCTGCGTGGCACACCCTCTATATAGCGACGCCCGGCCTGCGTGGCACACCCTCTATATAGCGACGCCCGGCCTGCGTGGCACACCCTCTATATAGCGACGCTCGGCCTGCGTGGCACACCCTCTATACCATGTGATAATTATGCTGCAGCTAACGCACTCACATTACCTCCATACTGTATGTTTTTCCAGAGCCAGTCTGTCCATAAGCGAGAATACAAACACTATAACCATCCAAGCATGACGTGATGAGAGGCGAGACCTCCTCAAACACCTACAAGAGGGCATAGTGATAGGAATAGTAAACAAAGATTCACCACATTATAATGGAATATTCTGTAAATATTCTCCACCTACAGGCACCGCGCCGAGCCTTGCACCTCCTACCAGCACCGCGCCGACTCTTGCACCACATACTAGCACCGCGCCGAGCCTTGCACCTCCTACCAGCACTGCGCCGAGCCTTGCACCACATACTAGCACCGCGCCGAGCCTTGCACCTCCTACCACCACCGTGCCGAGCCTTGCACCTCCTACCACCACCGTGCCAAGCCTTGCACCTCCTACCACCACCTTGCCGAGCCTTGCACCTCCTACCAGCATCGCGCCGACTCTTGCACCTCCTACCAGCACCGTGCCGAGCCTTGCACCTCCTACCAGCACCGCGCCGAGCCTTGCACCTCCTACCACCACCGCGCCGAGCCTTGCACCTCCTACCACCACCGCG